AAGATGACGACGGGCCGGGGGGCAGCAGAGCTGGATGAGCGTTCATGAGACATGACCGCCTGGCGAAAGTCACCCTCGGATCAGTAGTAGTAGTCAGATCCGGTCACGTCACTTGTGTCCGGCCTTTGCTCGACTCGGAATACAAGATGAATCAGGCCTGTAATGGTGTATACAAACGCGTGCACACACACACACAACGCAGACACACTAGCACATAAGGCAAGCGACAAACACAGTGAACGAATAAGAGCGAGCTGTCTTGCCCCCAAGGGATAGCTGCGAGGCCGTGAATACCAGAGGCGAGCTCGTATGAGCGCACGTAAGAATGCGAGGCGTTTTCACGCGTCTGGTCAGGGCAGCCGATCCGAGCGCCTCAAGAGCCTTTCCAGGCTCTTAGGCCCGGATCGGGTTAACCACACCAATGAGGGTGGGTTGGAGCAGGGGACAAAAACCGGAAAATGGCTTGGGGCCATGAGAAAAGGAGGCACTTTCAGGGATTATCAGAGCAAATGTGGCAAGGACGATTAGACAGATCAGCGCGAATTATGTATGGGTGCGTGTGTGCAAGGGTGCAAGGACCCGATAGGCAAGAGACGGATAGGAAGTGAGACAACTTCTAGCTCTGGAGGCCAGGGCAAAGAGCAAAGGGCCTGGGATAATTGGCTTGCCAGCGCAGCTGAGCCAAAGTGACTGTCCTCTCAGGCTGAGCAACCCCTGTCGCCGATACAAGGCTGGTCTTATAACCTCGCGCAAAAAATGTCCACACGATTAGAACCATCATTAGGTTACTCAAGTGACTAATGCTGAGATGATGGCCTCCTGCATACCAGCTGGATGGCTAGACAGTCTGCTAAATGTGCGCGCAAAGCTCACAAAGCCTGGGACTAGGACCCTGGGTTCTGGTGAGCAAAAGTCATGTGGTTCACACACGGGGTGAACAAGAGAAATCAGCTTACAGACATTGGACTTAGCAAAATTATGATAGTTGCGTCTCAGGGAAACAGAGTAAAAATGAGGAGGCAAATCGAACGACCGAATTCCCATATTTTCCTAATAATTGAACCAAGTGAGTGATAAAGTTATTGTCAAAGCTATGTCAAGTGTAGTTCCGTTAGTTAGGAAAAAACTTCGCCTGATTCCTGTTAGACGATGATGCCAAACGCCCAAGCCTTGACACACAGGATTCGATTCGGGCTCGTTACATTGGAATCGGATCCAGACGCGAACACTAGTTATGGATGATATTACAAGGACAAGCCTGCTTCTGGCTTAGTCTCTCTTCTGATACAAAGGCAATTTGTTCTTTTCACCCGCACGACTGAGATGTTTCCGCAAAATCAAGGCTGACACGAAAGCCGACTTAAGGCGTAACATACCTGAATCAAATGATTAGCAGAGCTGAAATGCAAGCCTAAAGTGTAAAGAGTACAGTTATTCACGGAATGTAAAATATATACATGTATAGAAATAATAATATAAAATAGCAGTGATCAAACTCATCAGAACGACAGTAGTAGAGCCAAATGATGAACTGTGCAGCAAGGCTCCTAGTGCTTGCGAAGTGACGACGACGGACCAAAAACACTAAGTTGCAACATAGATGGATGCAGGACCAGTGAAAAATGGATGGCGGACCAAGGAATAAAATGAATCTAAATCTGATTTAGCCCAATTACCAAAAGGCTTGATAATAAGAGCCAAGCCGCTGGCAAACATCAATGACCAGACACTTAAAATTGCCAAAACGCATCGAAATTAGAATTAAGAGAAGCGAATAGATGAGAAAAATACTTTATGATAGCGATCCTCCGACCGTTATGTA